GAATATGAATCTCTTTTGTGGAGTTTTGTTCAACACATTGAATCTTTCACCAAACTACTGTCCCCTATTCACCGCAATCATATAGCGTAGCTGAACGTAAAAACCGAACATTAAAAGAAATGATGAATACTATACTTTCAAGTTCAGGTGCACCTGAAAACTTGTGGGCGAAAGCCTTATTATCTGCTAATTATATTCTTAATAAAGTGTCTTATAAGGAAACAAATAAGGCATCTTATGAATTATGAAAAGATTGAAGACCTTCCTATAAATACTTAAAAGTGTGGGAGTATCTAACGAAAGTGGCAATTCTTAAAGCTATAAAGGTTAAGATAGGACTTAAAACCATTGATTGTATTTTCATTAGTTATGCCCACAACAGTAATGCATATTGATTTCTTGTTCATAAATTTGAGATTTTTGATATAAATAATAATACAATTATTGAATCAAGAAATGCTACGTTCTTTGAAAAAAAATTTCGTTTAATATGTCACATGAATCAAACTCATTAAAGAGACCAATTGATATTACGACTAGTAATGGTCAAGTAAATTCAGACAATGAGTTCATAGAAGATGAACCTAGACGTAGCAAATTGACAAAGACGTCAATGTCGTTTGGTCATGATTTTCTAACTTATCTAATACAGAGTGATCCTCAAAGTTTTAATGAATCTATGTCCTCCCCAGAAGATCCTTATTAGAAGGAAACTCTTAATTCTGAAATTGAATCCATTATGAAAAATCCTACATGTGAATTGGTGAATCTTCCACCAGGTAATAAACTTTTAGGCTGTAAATGAATCTTTAAAATAAAAATAAAAGCCGATGGATCCATTGACAAGGACAAAGCTAGACTTGCAACCAAAGGATATAAACAAAGGGAATGATTGAATTATTTCGACACTTATTCACCAGTTATTAGCTGCACTGAATGGTCTTGAGATACATTAAATGGATATAAAGACATCATTCTTAAATGGTGAATTAGATGAAGAAATACATGGAACAACCTAAAGGGTTCATTGCTAATAAACAAAAAAAGAAAGTATACAAGCTTATTAAATCTCTTTATGATTTAAAACAAGTACCAAAACAGTGACATGAGAAATTTAACAAGGCGTTGTCAAATACGTTTAAAATAAATGAGAGTGACAAATGTATTTATGTCAAGAGTACTCATAGTTGTATGTCTTTATGTAAATGATATGCTAATTTTAGGCAACATTAATGATATTATTAAAGCTACCAAACGAATGTTGATCAATAGGGTTTGATATGAAAGAATTAGGTGTTGCTGACTTTATATTAAAAATTAAAATTTCTAGAACGTCAAATGGACTCACATTATCTCAATCTCACTATATTAACAAAATACTTGATAAGTTCAAGAAGTATAAAATAAAACCTATGAGAACAATTGCCGATGTTAATATCCATCTTTGTAAGAATAATGACAAAGTCATATCTCAATTAGAATATGCACGTATAATTAATAGTTTAATGTAATTGTACTTGTCCGATATAGCATACTATGTGAGCAAGCTAAGTTAATATACAAGTAATTCCGAAAAAGACTACTAGAAAGCAATAATTAGGGTGTTGGCCAGGATCAAATTTTCGTTTCGGTGCATTGTTTCGGTCACTTAGAAAATGAAAACATTTCGACATATTTCGGATACAGAATGAAAAAATATAAAAATTTAAGAATTATTTTTTCAAAGCATTGGTCGAAATATTTCAAAATATCTTAAAATACCTTGAAGCATTCCAAAATAATTACGCAAATGCATTGAAATATAATAAAACATTTCAAAACATTATAGAACACCTGGAAATATTAAAATTTCAATTTCATCACTGATTCGTTTCGATCTCCTTAGAAACAGAAACGTTTCAGATGTTTCGAAACAATATTTTGATCCGTGGGTGTTGGGATATACTCAAACATATGGTTTGCATTTCATAAAATACCTAGTTGTACTGGAGGGATATATTGATGCTAATTAGATATCCGATACTAAAGATTCAAAATCCACAAATGGATATGTCTTTACCTTGGATAATGCACCTGTGCCTTAGAAATCCTCAAAGCAAACATGTATAACTAAATCTAAAATGGAACATGAATTCATTACCTTAGATAAGCTGAAAAAAAAAGTAGAATGGCTTCGTAACTTCTTAGAGGATATTTAAAATTGGCCAAAGTCTGTGTCAGCAATATGTATATATTGTGATAGCCAGTTTATAATTGGATGGGCATAGAATTGTATGTATAAAGGTAAGTTTCAACACATATGTCGTAGACACAATATCGTTAGGCAATTATCTCGAGTGGTATTATGTCCATTGACTATGTAAAGTCAAAGGATAATATCGCAGATCTATTTACAAAAAGTTTGACTAGAGAGCAAGTACAAAGTTTATCAATGGGAATGGGTGGTTGGTAGCGAGTGAGGAAAAGGGAGAGACGGTTATGTGAAGATTTTAGTATGTTGTTTGGTTAATAGGTTATTATTGACATTTTACAAGGAGAAACGAAAAAATAACCATGTTCTCGTGTTCTGGCGACTGGCGTAATTAATCCATATCTTGAAATCATGGTTATCAAATCTCAACCCAAAGCAGAGGATCTAACTATCGTACAATCCGTTATAGGTAAGTCGAATTGACCTCTTGCAAAATCTCTAATTCATAAGATCTTAATAGATCGTGATCCTGATCTTATAAGAACACGAGATCCTAATCTTATAAGAACACGAGATCCTAATCTTATAAGAACACAAGATCCTGATCTTATAAGAACACGAGATCCTGATCCGAACTGTGGCTCACGATCTGGGTTGTTGTGTTTGTATGGAAGGCGCATTTAGATATTAAGTGACCCAATTCATATTTATTGTTTTAATGCTAAAAACTTATTCTAGATGTAATTGTCAATATATTGGATAATTTCAACGGATGAGAAAAGTTACAGAAATTTATGTTCATTATAGAAAGCTCTCTTCATTCAGTCGTCTCACCCATTGAAAAGTTGAAAAAAATGGTTATACCGGTTGTTACTCTCCTCTCTCACCGGATGATCATAGTTGGATAGTCTTCCATTTCCATTCTCTTATATTTTTTTTTTTTTTGTTTAGATGTTAAACAGTTACGGTTGTTTACTCAACAGTCTCTGAACTTTCTAGTCTTTCCTCAATATCCACCTCTTTGAATTAAATTAAAATCAAAACACTATTCCTATTCTTAAAATTCCATAAGATTAACAACCCACCTTTGACTTTTAACCCTCTTCAATACTCAGATTACAATTTCCCAAATTTTAATTTGTTCTCTAAATTTTGTTTTTCATAATATTTCTATCTATCTAATACTACAACTACAAAGTTGAATTCTCACCTTATAAAAGTACAACAATAGTCAAGATTAATTCAATCTTCATCTATTTTGATTCAATGATACAAAATTCATCCCAAAATTTTTTCTCACTCAAAAAACATACATGACCCCTAATGTCAAACAACTTAATCAACACACTCTCCAATGTCAAACAGTCTCATCAATCTACACCTGCTTTTTTTCTCTCTTCAATTTTAAATTGCGTAATTAAAAAAATAATTGTTATTTAAAATATAAATATTGCAGAATCAATATTCAATTTTTGGTAGTGCATAGTGTCTTTAGGTACGGGGTTATCGCTAGTTTGCACATATACCAGGTATATTTAATTCTTATTTTTAAAAATTGTGTTATTACATATATTTTTTGTCTCATTTTTCAAGTTTGTAGGATTGTGTATTGGCACAGCGGTAAGGTTGCTACATTGTGACTTGAAAGCAAGGATCAAAATTTTGTTTCGATATATTGTTTCGATCATCTAGGAAACGGAAATGTTTCGATATATTTCGAAAACGTTTCGACCCGTTTCGAAAACATAATGAAAAAAAAAATTAAGAATTATTTTTCTAAAACATTGATTTAAATATATCAAAATATCTTAAAATACCTTAAAACATTCCAAAATAATTGTGCAAATACATTGAAATATTATAACACATCTCGAAACATTATGAAATATTTCGACATATTAGAATTTCACTTTCATTACTGATTCGTTTCGATCTCCTTGGAAACATAAACGTTTCAGACGTTTTGACCTTTTCGAAATGATATTTTGATCCTTGCCCGAAAGTTAAGTGTTCGAATCGCACAAAGAGTTAGGGGGATTTAAGGCTACATACATCCGACCTTCCTGGATCTCACAGTAACAAGAGTCTTGTACACTGGACTGCCCTTTTATTTTTTAAGTTTGTAGGATCTTACAATTCTCGATGCAATCATACAATCTCAATCATTTAGCCTCCCCCATTGATCCAAAGTAAGATCCCAATTTTAAAAACCTTGCTTGAGATATAGTAATATATGAAAGAATAATGTAGAACATAATATATGCCACACAATTTGAGCATGCGTAAACATCATTAGGTAATCTGCAATAATAGGGCAGCTTAACCTAGCAAATAAATTCTTTTGGTAAATGTATTCGGAAATAAAATCCAGTCCCTAATATGACGACGGCAATTGGCTTTGCAATACAGAGCCTTCACTATTACTAACTTCCAAAATTTAGGAGGCATAATGATCAATTTCTTTACCTTCCGAAAAAAAAAATGATCAATTTCTTTAAAAACAGCAAACAAATCTTCGCAATGTACATTACAACAAATACCTGATGAGAGGTATTGCATGCAATTCCTTGTGATTCTGTTCCACAATGAAAACAACTCTAAACATAAAACATTCTCATAATTTTCAGGTGTTTTCCACAGGTTATAGCAGAAAACATGGAGACCAAAATTCATTTGGGGCCCAAAAGACATCAAGACAACCGCAAGCAAGAGTTCTAAATTTATATAAGAAACATCGAAGGAAAATCTATCAAGAAACATGAAACTCCCCTGAACAATCTTCCTCAATATAGATAAAAGAAGTTCATACCTGCTGCACTTTCTGCAGATACAACACCCAACTCATTTTTTGCAGTTGATAGATAATATGCCCGTGCATCGCCAAGGGAGAGCTAATCAAGGAAGTGCATTAAAGAGAACTAATATATAAGACAAGCTCTAATATCAAAATCCAAGAGAAAACGATATAGGATGACTGTTACTCTGAGCTTGGAAAGGAAGTGTGTTAGGTAGGAAATTTATCCAAGAAAAGCTAATCGGATAAAAGGATGACCATTCTAAAATGACCAACGAAAAGCACAAGAGTGAGACAAAAAAGTAAAGTTACATGGGGATTCTCTCAAACCTTCAGTCATAACTGTCATATATTAACTTATCGGCACTTGGTATGCTTGTACCACTTTTAGATTACTTTATTTGAAATGGCTAATTATTCTTAAGAAAATCTATACCAGAACTAAACAAATTCACTTGATTGAAGCAATTTCATATTGCATTTTGTTTTATTTCAACATGGCACTTATTAAACACTCCCTTCAATTGTTTTTAAGTGAACTACAGTGTCAAACAACAAAGCACAATCTAAGCACATGCCACTACCATCAAGAGCACTGACATGCAAAAATTTGCATACAGTATTGACACCTGTGCCACCGGTGATACTCGGAGATTCATGCCAATTAGTGCCTCAATGACATCAATAGAATGGAACAAATTATCACAGGGAAACTTTATGCATGGAGGATACTACTAAAGCTCTAACAGTGTCACCCGGCCGAAAAGACGCATGCATATCTACTTTGTCGATCTCGGTGGCTCTGACATCTTGTTGCCTGCTAGAATAAACAAGTTGAGAATCCAGACATATATTTTGCCGAACAATTAATACTGAGATAACTTATATCCATATGAAACCAACTTCGACTTTGAATATCACGAATACAGCATAATGCAGAACTGATATACTATAAGCTGATTACCCACACAGCCACAAGCAAACTGATATTCACTTGACCAAAACTTCGCAATAGCTACAAGCACACATTATCGCATGCAAAAACTACCATGGCAGGCACTTAAATTCCCCAAGCAGCAGAAAAAGAGATGTTAGCTAAAGGCAACAAAGAAAACTTTTGACAACTAGAAAAGTAAGTTTTCTCCTGTCAATGCATGATGGCTCAGCATTTTGAGGCTCCCTTCTGATTAATTCTTTCATCTTGTAATAACATCATATAGTACTAAGTTTAAGGAAAAGGTCCATTATCAACATTGGGATAAAGGAGTAGTAGCAAAGTTTCTTCTATTCTTTTTTTCCCTTCTCTCCGGAAAATAGGGCACTTTTATCTTTAGGACATAGAATATATAAAAGAGGGACTCAAGAACAATAGCCTAATCCAAGAAGGTATACCGCTTCATCGAAAAAGTCACGATCCACAAAGGAAGCACAAAATCCCAATACCCAATTACGCAATCAACAGCAAAGGCTTGGAACAAAAATAGCACTTTCAAAATATAAGAAAACACTTAGCTTATTAAGCAGTAACTTCCATTCCAAAATTTGATCATTTGATTGCCGCAATAAAAAATCCTCAGCCAAGTCAAATTTTTCGTAGCAACTTGAATTTCTACTGTATACCCACTTGTCAAAAATGCATACCTTCAGCCAATAAATACAAACAAAATTACATACCTAATAATGCCTGTGAACTTTTCTCTTACAGACTTGGGACCAACACACATTATATCCGCTGAAGCCATTCTAGCCATCACTTTAGTAACCTACCAAAAGCAATTAAAAATTAAGAAAAACGAGGTTTAACAAAACAAAGCATGCATATCTCCTTAGATAAAGAAAGCAAACAAAGGCTGGTTTTCCAACTATACCATTACCATTTACAAGGTATGAAATTGATGGGCAAAAGTATATGGCATCAATGCTAGTCCCAGACAAATAATCTAACAAATGCAAATAAGTGCATTAGCGGAAAGATAGGAAAGTGAAGCTTGGTTGTCATATTTGTTAAGGACAAGTAATAGAATGAAAATTTTGTGGAGTATCTATAGTAGCAGTATCACAAAGCAAAATGAATGACATTATCAAAGGAAAAACAAAGAAAGTAAAGCGATCTTTTTCATGCATTCCCAGCTTTTTAAGCTGCTCAGCTCCGAAAATTCTAGCCATAACCCAGATGCAAATATTCACTCCTATGCAACATTTCCACGTGTTTTGCAGCTTGTTTGAACATAACTATGACAAATGTAATTGAAATCAAAATGTATCACAAAAATAATGGCTGTAGGCCATCTCAGGTGTTAAGTGCTGCAAATGGGAAGGTCTCTTTTACTGACAAGTGTAGGGATCGCAATGGCTTGAATATTGGACCGGACACTCCTGCCTTTCCAAGCCGGCAGATAACAACCCTCCGCGAACCATCCAAGACCCTGACGAAGCAGGCTGAATGTCTGTGACAATAGCATCACAGTGGGACGGGTTTATCAACTGCTAATCATATTTCTTTTTTTAAAAAAATGATTCCCTACATGAGGCACTCACTGATGGAAGTGTCCAAATCACGTAGGTTTTGAGCAGATAAATGGGAGGCATGTGCAAATACAGGCCAGAACTTCCCATTTTAGCCTCTATTCCCATATTGAACAAAAGTGCAAGGCTACAAGTATATGTTGAAACTTCAACATGAGAACAAAGTTGTATTACTATACTCAACTTACAAATAATTTAAAAGGGTTGAGGAATGATAATGTCCCCTACAATTGGTTGAGAATATGTCAACCACCCTCCCGCAAAATTTTACTTAGAAACTTGTCCAAAACCAAAAAAAAATCTTACACGCTGCAAGGTTTACCCTTTTCATTTGGTCTTCTTGTTCTTTTATTCATCGAAAAACAATTTCTTCTTATTCCTCTCCTCAAAATGAATAGACCATTGACCGGCCATGCAACATCCATGGCATCTTTCTCCCTCCATGCCTCCCCCTCTATTAGAACTCCCAGTCCCCATATCTTCACAACTTAGCTACCATCAATGCCGATGTAATTCATAGTTTATCACCAAAAAAAAAACATAATTTCACTAACCATCAACACCCGTTTCAGCCAAACACGTGTCAAATCACTAGAAATCCAATTGGCATTTTGCACCACTGCACCACAACAGCAGGTCCTCTTTGATGAATCTCAAACAGCAACATAAGATTTACTGGTATTATACATGATAGACGATACATTGCCCAGTGAGAAGATAAAAATAAATAAATGAGAATGACTATGAAATAACCAAATTAGCCCTCAACTATCATGTTTTTGACATTGCATCTTCAATTATGAGATTAGTTTCATATGGCCCCAATGAGTAACGTCTGTTACAAATATGAAGAAAATTTATTTCATTTTGCCATACGAAATGTCATTTTTTTCACTTTGCCCTGACAAACTGACAATTTTTGTCCAAAAAGATAGCGGGCATTTATATTTGCTGTAATATGAAATAATTCAAGTAGTTGAGGGGATAAAGTAAAAAAATCTATAATTCACGGGGCAAGGTAAAATCAAGTCCATAGTTAAGAGAGTTAGAGTGTAATCAAGGATCAAAATTTCGTTTCGAAGTACCGTTTCGGTCAACTCAAAAATAGAAACGTTTTGGAAACATTTCGGAAACGCAATGGAAACGCAGAAAAAATATGGAAACGCATAGAAACACAAATGCAATCCATTAATTTATAAAGATATGCTAAATAATTTATTAATTCAACATATTTATTAGGTTAACATCAATTTATACAAGAATAAATTTAAATTTGAGGGAAAAAAAGGCTTGACTTGAGGCGAAAGTCACTTAAATTAGTTTCAAACACTTAATTTTTATGAAATAAACACATTTTTACATAATATTAAGGTCTTATAATACACATGAAATGCTAATGAGTACATACTTACATGGTTACATCCATTCCCCTGTGGAGTGTCGAGCAGACTCATACATCGGTGTAGGCTCTGGGTAGCTACTTAGAGAAACTCTATATGTGACATAAATATGATGACAATAGTTACTCCAAATCATATTATTACGGTAATATAATCCAATTAATAATACTATTTTATTATAATACTAATAATGAAGGGTATCAAATTAAATTAATGATACTTATGTATACTTAAAAATTAAATGTAATTGCAGTGGGTATTAAATGTAATTACAGTAGGTATTAAATATAATTACATTAGGGTATTAAATGTAATTGTTAATACTTATAACAAAAAAAAAATCAAAAAACTTGCACAGCAGTGAGGTATTAAATATAATTATAGTATGTATTAAATATAATTATAATGGGTATTAAATATAATTATAGTAGGGTATTAAGTGTAATTATTTATTCTTATAACAAAAAAATTATAAAAGACAGAAGAGCAGTGGGAATTAAATGTAATTATAGTGGGATATTAAATATAATTATAGTGAGTATTAAATGTAATTACAGTGGGTATTAAATGTAATTATAATGGGGTATTAAATGTAATTATTCATAATGAACCGAATATATCACTGTTTTGTCGAAACGGTACTATTTCGATCGAAACGGTTCGAAACAATGCCGTTTCGACCGAAACGGTTCGAAACAGTACCGTTTCGACCGAAACACTGGAATTTTGTGATTCAACTACTGTTTCGTTTCGGAGTGTTGAAATTCCGAAACGTTTCGGACGTGTCGACACGACATTTTGATCCTTGAGTGTAGTGTGCCCATCTTTCTTTATACTCAATTCTTTCGTTCAAAAAATACAACTAGTTATCATAGGAAGGTTGGGTCATTCTTGAGTTTATATGCAAGAATAGCATAGAAAGTGTTTGTTCTTTGCATAACTATCGAAGATACAAAAAATAATAAAAAATAAAGCAAAATAAAAAATATAACCATGAATGACTAAATGAGTTGAATCAATATATAACTTTTGGATTTGATTTAAGCTGATTTGATACATTACTTCTATCTTCTTAATTTTTCTAAAATGGGGGTATTTTTTCACAAAGTCAACCCTAGTCATTTTTAATGCGATTGTTTGCTTAGAATAGATGTTGCGGATGCCGATTAGATCTACCCAAGGATTGCCCAATGGCTTCCAATGAAAGATACGAAGTTCTATGGCTCTAAGATGCTCATCAGTCACTATTTGCTTAGAATTGGAGTTCAGCTCTCACATGTTTTGTTCCTTGCTACTTTCCAACGAAGTTTAGGCTTTATTAGGTACAATTTTTACATGGGAGTTGCATTTCTTATTATTTTGGGTCTCTTTGAACCATTTAGGGTGTTATGCGATTGCGAAGTGGCATTTGGAACCTAATTAATGATGTTAGAGGTGTGTTGTAACTTAGGTTGGGGTTAAGACAAGAAATCCTACATTACAAACAAATGTGACTACAATTATTTCACCTAGTTATCATAGTCACCTATGTTGGAGTCTCACCTAGTTTCTTTTGTGACCTACTTTCATACTCTAGGACACGAAATTGGAGTTTGCTGCAGAATTGGATTACAATCAACGATTTGAGAATATGTATGCTAAATGCATTACAATTACAAAAGCTGGTTAAACTAGAGAGGATTACTTAATTCCTCATTGGCTTGAACCTTGCATTTGACTACGTTAAAAGTCAAATCCTAGAAAATAAGCCTCTTACTTCTCTCCAGGAGGTCAATGTTTGTCTTTTGTGTGAGGAATGTAGGCAAGTAATCATGCTTCACTTTAAGCCTTAAGAGAGTTCAACCTTGACTATTGTTGCCTCTCGAGAAAATAATTTGAGGTCAAACACTTGAAAAGAGTCACGCAAGGGATGTTACTTTTGATGATAAAGACAATTTGTACTATGAGTAACGCAAAAAGCCAAGACATAAGTAGAGAGACTTGTTGGAAATTGCAAGGTCTTCCTCAATTTTGGGAAAGAGAAGGGTGTTCAGGTGCAAGAGGACAAGCTTAGGCTCATCTTACTGCTATAGTTTAGACTTCTTCAATTGGTAATATTTCGTCACTTGCAACTGAATTAGTGACTCTTACCAAGGAGGACTTAGAGAATATTTGTCATCTTATTAATGGTAGCTTAACTACATATTTGAGTGCATCTTGCATTATTTTTTTTTACCAGTTGATTATTGATTCAAGAGCCTGTGATAATTTAACTAGATTTACTACTTCGTTCTCATCTTACATTGCATTCCTAGGAAAACAAACAGTCAAAATGACTGATAAATCAATTTTTAAGTTTAGTGAAGGTTCTATTCTAGCCACTTTATCACTAATGTCTCAAATGATCTTCTCTTCAGTAGAGACATTACAAAAAAATTTAGCAAGACATTGTTTCATTCATATTGTATCTTTTGTGAACTTGTCACGAGGACAGTAATTGGCAGTGATGAAAAGAGATGATGTTCTTTGCTTTTCGAATTCTCATGAGTCATACGATGGTCACACTGAACCAGCTCTCAGGTCACAGAGTTGTGATACTTCTGAGAAGAAAATTGGTTGCTTTAGGATATAATTCATTTTTTTTTAGAATCTATTCCTTTGTTGTCTAGGTTGAATTTTTTAAAATTGGTTGTGAACCAAGTGAACTTGTAAAACACAAGCGAGTGTCATTTCCTACTAGTTTCAATATAAGTTCTCCCTTGGTCACTATTCATACTGACGTATGGTTTCAGAGAGTTTGTAACTTCGATTGATGATATTTCTCATGCCATTTCAGTTTACCTGTTGAAGGAAAAAAATTAGGTGTTTTATTGCTTTTTGACATTTCACAAAATTGTGTTTAATCGTTTCCATCATCTAGTAAAAATTATATGTTGTAACAAAATGGAGGTGTGTCGATTTATTGTGGTCTTTGTTCCTATTTTCATGAACATGGTACCATCCACCAAAACACGTATAGTAATACCACTTAGAAGAATGGGGTTCCATAGAGGAAGAATCGCCATCTGTTAAAACTTCCCATAACCTTGAAAATCCTTATCAATGTTCCTAAATTCTATTGGGTAGATCTTATACTCAAAGCGGTGTATCTCATAAACAGAATGCCTTCTGCAGTTTTGGACTTTCAAGCACCAATTGAGGTTTTGTGCCCAACTGCTACTTCATCTTCTTTTTCTACCCAGTTTTTAGTTCCTCTCATATTTTTGTGTTTGCTTATCTGAAGTAAGTCAGATCCAAATTTTACTAAATTCATTTCAAATGGTTACTCACCAACATAAATATGTTACAGCTATTTTCATCATCCTTCAGGTAAAAACAATTGTTTCCATGTATGTTACATTCTTTTGAAACCGTACCATATTTTCCGGCCGAAAAGAATCTAGTGAAGATAAGTTTTATTTGTTCAACAGTCTGCTTCATCTGTGCCTTCATTCAACTAGAACAAGAGCTGGAGAGAGCTGAGGAGCAGAAGCAAAACACAAAAGAAATTGAGGGTC